GAGAGAGAGAGAGAGAGAGAGAGAGAGAGAGAAAGAACGCACTATCTCCCGTTCGATGTCACACGCTTCTTTTTTTTTTCCAACCGGCAACGCGGCACCAGTTCGCAACACGGCAGCGAAATTTATACGCGATAACTTTGTACAATGGTTGAATTTATCGCGAAAACAATGTTGGACATCGAGGGGCTAATCCACGATCTCTTCTCCTTACTTTCTACGAGCGAACGTTCACTTGGACGTCGAACGCGAATGAGTCTGTGGTTTTTCAATTTTTCTTTTTCGCACGCTTCTTCTCCCAAGTTCTCCTAGCTTGTATCGTTAATATTTGAGAAGTGACTGTTAGTTCGTGAAATATTTTAGATTCTAGATATCGCGTCTAGAAGTTTTAAAGGAGTACGAGATCAGTTACAAGTATGTACACTGATAATCCTCTTCGCTGCTATGAGATAAAGAATTGTCTATCGGACACGATCCATGGACGTCACATATATCGATGGACGAAGACCGAGAGAATGGAATTCCCGAGTCAAGAAACGATAAAAGAACGGACTGGATAGAAATCGTAAAGAATTCCGAAGCGCGGTGGGTCTTCGTACAAGGGATACGGAGGACCGTTTCCTCTCTTACTTACGTCCCATTCTCTACGTTCAGGTCCCAAGGGTGCCTCGGTAATTTATTTCCAACACATCAGGATTCTCGCATAACGACTGCAGTATTTGGTTAATATGATTTCCCGAAGTGGTAGTTAAATCTAAACGGGGGTTCTTAACGTGGCGCTTACGAGTGTTATGTAAATACAGAACCCGACGGAAAACAGGCAATAGTCTGTCAGACACGACCAACCGATATGACTAACTACAATAAAATATATCTCGCTTGGAGAAACGCGTCTGTTTGGGGGAGAAAAAGAAAAAAAAAGAACTCGTTTTCCCGAATACCAGGGAAAAATTTCCTAAAACGTCATTTTGAAATCCCAAATTGTCTCTACGAATGCACACGGGTCTAACGAAACGAGAGAGCGGTCACTCTCTGCCTAACTAACGACCCGGCCATTTTAAACTGTAACTTGTTTCGAACGTGTTGGTCGGGCCTACGTGGGCATCGAAACAATGCGCCTGATGGACAATACTTATTAGTTTCGGAGGTGGGCGAGCATGCTCTTCCTCTTTCCTCACGTCGTTGTACCCTATTGTACAAGTTGAAGGTATGAAGCGAGGCAGGCGAAACGCCTACAAGTCTGACAAGGTGCCAGCGCATCATCACTCCTGAAGTACACGAAACCGTCTGGAAGGCGAACAGCTTCCCCGAATAAAAATCCAACAACGGATTTCCCGACTCACCGCGATTAATTCCGGACCCTCCCCGTTACACCGCTGCCAAACCAGCTTGTTTAGACGGTACGATGTTCTCCCTCCCACCCACCTTTCCTCGTCTACGTTTTTCACGACGCGACGTCGACGTATCGGTCGTCGTTTCTTTTTCGAGAGTTAGCGCGACCGAAAATTACTTATTTAATAAACCCGAGGCCTAGGCATGGACAATTCTCGCGTTCACGCGGTATATCATTAAAGGGGTCGTTCTTTCTCGTGCAGCAGCTTATTGATAACCCTAATTTTACCATTAACGTGTTTAAGATTCATAGTGACGCTGTCGTGTCGGCGAGACAATAAGAGAGGCGTGTACAACCCTCGGCCGCAGCCGCGCGGAGGAACGTGAACTCTCGAATGATTAGCCAGAGTATAACAAAGTCGATACCGCCGATCGATAAATCAAAGCTCGTGACCGGTCCGGGAGTGGTATTAAGCCCGTATCGCATTACGCGGAAAATAGGGCATCTCAACGAATATTTGGACCGCGACCAGTCGGGCCAGTCCCCAGTCGGGTCTTACTAAGGATGCGTCCGAATCATGAATAAATTTTAACGAGATTGCACGCTCGAGAAAGAGACCGAAAACGAAGGCACCGAGACGAAGGACCCGGCCGCTACCTATATCTCCACGTGAGGATAAATCAAGTCGCCTAATCAGACTGCTTCATCGAGCTCGGTTTTTCAGAAGTTATATAAAGGGACAGTCCCTTTTATATGAGAGGGAATAGCGATGATGCGCTTTAGCAAAAAATCACCGGTCTAAAATTGA